AAAACAAACAGTCCCTTTAAAAAGTGGACAAAAGACATGAATAGACACTTCTCAAAAGAATATATATGGGCAGCCAACAGACACATGAAAAAGTGCTCAGCTTCTCTCATCATTAGAGAAATGCAAATCAAAACCACATTGAGATACCACCTAACCCCTGTAAGAATGGCCATCATAAATGAAACAAACAACAAAAGATGCTGGCGAGGAAGTGGAGAATAAGAAACACTTCTACACTGCTGGTGGGAATGCAGACTAGTACAACCTCTTTGGAAGACAGTGTGGTGATTTCTGAAAGAACTAGAAACTGACCTTCCATATGACCCAGCTATTCCCCTATTGGGAATATACCCGGAGGAACTAAAATCATTTTACAAAAAATAGCTGCACACATATGTTTGTTGCAGCTCTATTCACAACAGCAAAAACATGGAACCAACCGTGTGCCCATCAAAGCTGGACTGGATTAAAAAAATGTGGTACATATACACAATGGTATATTATGCAGCCACAAAGAAGGACAAATATATGAACTTTGCAGTAAATTGGATGAATTTGGAGTCGACCACACTCAGTGATTAACACAGAAATAAAGAACTGAGTTCCATATGTTCTCACTCATAAGGTAACCTTGAACACTTATAATGCTATAAGAAAGCGATTGGCAGTAGCGGAAAGCTGTCAGGGGAAGGGGGAGTGGGACTGGCTGTCGAGGGAAACTGCTAGAGGCGAGAGGGGCATACCTCATCAACAAGGGTAACTGCATGATCAATGTTTGTATCTCTAACCCTGAATTGTACCCCCACATATTTATAATAAATAAGTAAATTTTAAAAAAAGAAATAGTCATAATACTTACTTTTCTCTGAAAGGGTAAAATAATCCAGAGAAAATAAGAACAAGATAAGCCATTGACAATATGTATAATATTTTCACCTTTTCACCTCCAGTTAATTCAATAGACTTAGTTTTACTCTTTCTTCTTGGAGATTAACAACTGATTTAATACTCCTAGATTTCTAGGATAACATCATTTCCCCAAATTTGATTAACAAATATTTCACAAAACTTATTCAATCTTATTATTTTTCATAAATATTGACTTATTTTACAAATATTAAAAATAAATATTGCTTAAGTATATCTTTCATAAACGTTGTTGTTTAAGCTAATGGGAAAATGAATAAGTAAATGCCACATTTCAGAGTGAGATTTCTTCAGCAAAAATGATTTAATGTAGTAAAACAGAAGGATTGAGATCTTTCTTTTTTATTCTAATGTCATTCAAACTAAAAATTATCTTGTTATTAATTCATAGTGTAAGAAGTATTAAGATAATGTTAGTGTGTAGGTGTGTGTGCATGTGTGTGTGTGGGAGAGAGACAGAGAGAGAGAGAGAGAGAGAGAGATCTCTAAAACACTCTCCTGTGCTCACACAAAGACATTGTGCCTGATTCAAAGAATTTATTTGAAGGATGCATGAAAGTTATTTGAAGGATGCCACTCTTCAATAACAATCAAATTACCATGTGATTTTTTCTTCTGATTAGAACCTGAATGATATAGTAGGCAAATATATTTTAAAAGGAAATAAAATGTACTAAACTTAAAAAACATACTTAGAAATTAGATTTAATTAAAATTAAGACCATTTCTGATAATGAATTATACCATTAAGATATCATATATGATGGAATATTATGCAGCCATAAAGAAAAGCAAAATCATGGCTTTTGTAGCAACATGGATGTAGCTGGAGACCATCATACTAAGTGAACTATCACAGAAAAAAAACTGAATACCACATGTTCTTCCTCATAAGAGGGCTCTGATCACTAGTCCACAGGCACAGGGGTGGGATTAGCAGATGCTGGTTACTGCTAGGGTAGGGACATGGAGAGAGGGGAGGGGGTACACAGCATCACACAGTGTACTTGGACCACTGTCTGGGAAAAAGAGGATGTAGCTAGAAGCCCAAACTGTACCTGTATGCAACCTAATTGTGTAGTAAATCCCCACTTATACTCCACAACTAAAATAAAAGTAATAAAAGTATATAGAGTATAGAAGACATCGTAATACCTGTATCTTGCAATATCAGCTACAGAGTCACAGTGCTACTTTTAGTTCTCCAGACTCATATACTAGGTATTGGCCTTCTACTTGAAACTTAGTTAAAAACCATGACTATCTCCTCTTGAATTTTTATCCTGTTTCATATGCCTGCAAAAGGGTGTCCTGGAGCATTTTATTGCATCTTTCTTCAGGGTCACAGGTTTTCTGGGTACTATTCATCCCTGAATTCTCTAGGAAACAGATCTTGTTTTTTTTCTTTTTTCTTTTTTTTTTTTTTTTTGAGTTGGAGTCTCACTCCGTTGCCCAGACTGGAGTGCAGTGGCCGCTCCCAGCCACCGCAGCCTTGCCTGCTGGGCTCCGGCGATCCTTCAGCCTCAGCCTTCCAAATAGCCGGAATTACAGGCGCGCCCTACCACGCCCGGCTGATTTTTATTTTTATTTTTTGATTTATTGTAGAGATGAGGTCTCGTTGCCCAGGCAGGTCTCGAACCCGTGGGCTCAAGCAATCCACTCACTTCAGCCTCCCAAAGGCGCGGGATTACAGGCTGAGCCACCGAGCCCGGCGGGAAACAGATCTTGAAGTAAAATGTATTGTGCAGTGAGTTTAATACAGGGAAAACTTTGGTACAAGCATCTTTGGAAGCAGAATAATGGAAGTAGGTAAGATTGGGCCGAAGGAAAAGTAGAGCTGTGAATCAGGCCTGATGGTAGTCTTGTCCAACACAACAGGGAGCTCTGGATATAAAATTATTCAGCCAAATTTTTCTGCATTGGGCCGAAGGAGCCAAGTCTCAATGCCTTTATACCTCAGTCATTGAATGAGTCATAACCCTGGCCAGGGCACATTTCTTCTGCTGAGGGAATCCTCCACAGTCTTAAAAGTTGAAAGTATTCTACTGTAATCATTTTCAGAAGATGGGGCTACAAGTCCTTAGTTAAACCAGGGCAAGCTAGTTTATCACCATGCCCGTCACGACCCCTGTCTTTTTCTTGGCTCTTGGGAATGTGAGATGCTCTGGGCAAGTTTTAAGTTTTTCCTGGAGTTTGGAGAACATTACTATGCATATTCTTTCTAAACCCTTTGTTTTCTTCATGCCACCTCCCTTCCTGGAATATCTTTCCCAGTCGAATACTGGTAAGTGTTTAGCAATCAACTCTCTAGGAAATTTTTTAAAAGCCCTGTTAAACAGTGTTTGCCAATGTCTGTGGTTTAAATATTCCCATCATTACCAATTTCAAACAACCATTGTATCCTTGCAGAACACAGGGTTGAAACAAGATATGTACACCTATCTTTTAATTAAATTTAATTAAAATTAAGACCATTTCTGATAAGCAGCTTTAGCTGATTTTGAGTCAACTTTAGCACATCATTATCTTCCCAAATCTGTCCAACTGATAAAAATGAATCTGACTCACAAATGAAAGTCAACTACTCTAATTCTTAATACCTAAATCTCCAAATAAAATGTATCACTTTTTAATAACAATTGGTATAATGCGTCTATTTTGATAATACCTATCTGTTACACTTAATTTTACTAAATTGTTTGCACGTTTCTTCACTATGAAACATTTATACCTGAGCTTTAACACAATGCTTTTTATGTCTATATTATATATTCACAATACTAAAAGCAATAGCTATCACAATAAGTATTTCATTTGTCTCAATATATTTTTCTTGGATGAATGAATAAGCACTTAAAATTTACACTTACAACTATTTAGTGAGTGTTCATAATTCTTAAGGAAGAACAGCTGTGTAGTGTTATGATAAGGAGGTAGCCATGACCCATGCTCAAAATGGTTGCAATGTGGCTGAGAAGAAAGCGAATATATATGAAATAATAAAATATCACTCATAGAGCATATGTATAGATCAGTCTAGTGACGAAGAAAAAGGTAATGTGTTATCAACAATGAAGACATTTGTAAAAACACAACAATACCAAAAATCCACACAGAAATACAGAACAACAGGAAAAAAAATATTATTAAAATGCAAGGATAGAGGTTGTACACTTCCAAGCCACTCCCAGATTAAGACATGAGATTCCACCCTATGGTGAGTTGCCTTCTTGTGCAACTCCCATGTATCTGCCTCAGTATTTTCTGGCAAATTGAGGGAGCTGATTGATCTAGAGTAGCAATGAGAGAAAGGACACATGACTGCCCAGAGTTGAGATTAAGACTTAGTCTATCACTAACAGCCACAAAGCAGTTCAAAGTCTTCCTAGAAACTCAAGTTCCAAATGTAGGCTAAGGATCCAAGTCTTTCCATAAAGAATTATGTCATGTGGCATGGGAAGCAAAATATGTGCAAATGTATTAGAAAAAGAGATAAAGATTGATTTCTGAGTTTTAAATCATTAAAATGAAGAACTACATAAGCATAATTAACTTCATAAGGAAAGTTACTGCTATTATCATTAACAATAATAATTTAATAATATTAGCACATTTGTATAGTTTTTAAAACTTATTTTTTAACACATACATTGTCTTGTAATGAACTTGGGAATACATATGTCATGGTAATCACAATTTGGCCAAAGGAGAAAAAAAAGCAAAACCTGAATCTCATAAAAGGTAAAGATTACCTGAGATCACATATATAGAAAGTGAAATAATGAAGAATTTAACCAGAGCAAAATAACTTATTTTTCATAAACTAAAATACCTTACACAATATTTTCAGTAAGAAAGCTAGAGGGCAGAGGTTACTTAAAACCTCCTCCTTAGCCCAAACTTTTGGAGAATTCCTAAACGAATTTGCTTTGTCCGGACACTGTAGACAATAGGATTAAGGACTGGAGGAAAAAGCAGATAGATGTCAGCCATGAGGACATAGATGATGGATGACAGATGCTTCCCAAAACGATGAACCATTGACACTCCAATAACTGGAACAAAAAAGATGAGTACCACGCAAACGTGAGATACACATGTGTTAAGTGCCTTTAGCCGCTCTTCACGAGACGCGATACCCAACACAGCATTCAGAATCAGAGCATAAGAAAGAAGTATAAAGACTGAATCCACACCTAGTGTGACAACAACTATACACAGTCCATAAATGCTGTTGATCCTGGCGTCTGAACAGGATAATTTCAGAACATCCTGGTGCAAACAGAAGGCATGGGAGAGAGCATTTCCTTTGCAGTAGTGATAGCGTCTCAGTAGCAAAGGTGTGGGCAATACAACTCCCATGCTTCGTAACAAACAGGCCAAGCCAATTTTTCCAATTGTACTGTTGGTGAGGATGGTGGAGTAGTGCAGTGGACGGCAGATAGCAACAAAACGGTCAAAGGCCATGGCCAACAGCACTGAGGATTCCAGGAAGGTGAATATGTGAATGAAAAACAGCTGAGCATAGCAAGCACTTGCCTGGATCTCCCGAGCATCCAACCATAATACACCAAGCATAGTGGGGAGTGTGGACAAAGACATACCCAGGTCAGTCAGTGCCAAGATGGAAATGAAGTAATACATGGGTTGATGGAGTGAGGACTCTATCCAAATGACAGAGAGAATAGTAACATTACCAATAAATGCTACTAAATACGCAGAACAGAATAGGATTGAGACCCAAAAATGAACATACTCTAGTCCAGGAAGACCCCTCAGGATAAATATGGGTTCCACAGCATCACTGTTATTCCAGACCACCATGGTGACCTCGAGTAACTTGGTAAATAGTGACAAATGTCCTCTGTTTCCTCTCCTTAGTTCTCAAAGTTATGTCTTCTGAGCACAAACAATGAAATCAAGACAATCTCTTACCTCACAGAGAAAGAAAGGAGGTAATTCTGATGGGTCCTGTGAAAGAACCATTTTCAAATATTAAAGAGCACTGAACTCTGGAACAGAAGTGTGAGTCATACAAATATGATCATCTCTGACAAGAAATGTATTGGATTTGCATCGAGGACACTGAAAATTTTAAGTAACACAAGAAGATAGAAAAAAACATTTCAATATATATTATAAAGATTAAAACGCAGAAAAGTTAGAGTAAATGCTTTATGGATTGTATAAGCTTCCTGTCAGTATTGTTCTTAAGTTAATCAGTTATTGCTTTTAGAATATGTTTACACTCATGGTAATTGAATTGATCTCAAGGACTCAACATAATTTCCCTTCAAATTGATTTTAATATAATAATATATAATATTTAAACATTATAAATGTTTAAATAAAATAAATAAAAGATAAATACCCATCATAGGAAAAAAGGGCATGGACAAAAGAAAAGAAATCCATAAACCAAGCACACTTTGATCTTTTTTATGAATAATATTTTGAGCTGTTTGGTATAGCAAGTATGTCCTAACTTTAAACATCCTCACAATAAAAAATAGTGTGTGAATATATATACATGTATATGCATATACACTGAGTATTTACTCATATATAAGTATATACTCAGAACTTAAGTTCTTTGAAAATAAATCTTAGGTTATAAGTTCACACTTAAATATGAAAGTTCTTCTTAAAGTGGTTTCCTGCATGCTCTCCCACAAAATAAAATGAGAACACAATTAATGCAGTTATCTGTATTTATTTCCCTTAAGTAGATTAGGTACTATGCCACTTTATTTCTACTCATTATTTTAATTGATTGATGTTTTTGTCAAAATGATGCTTATAATAACATATAAAATAAATCAATTATTGTGTTCTCCATGTTCACGACCCATTTGCACCTACTTCTGTGAACCCATAGCAATCCAAAAATGTGGCCTTAAGCACACACCATCAGAACCTTTAGAGACAACTACGTTATTTTTTCTTGCTTCACAATAAGATTCTAATGTCTGCCTTTATTTTCCTTTTGTAAGCTTTACTGTGATAGCCTCTTTTCCTGTAATGCATGTAAATGCTGCCCTTTATCTATCCTGGGTTGACAGCACTGGATAGAGTTGTTAAACTCTCTGGGATTCTTTGTCCCTTCTGCTCTCTGGTTCTATTTTAGCCCCATCTAACCACATTGATTGTCCCTGAGAAAATTATTCACTTACCTTTTCCCTGAGAGTCTGGGACTCATAGACTTCAGATATCTCTTCAGTAACATCTTAGCAACTGTTTCATCCCTACTGCTAGACCCTTTGTCCCTCATTTCTGGAAAGTCTAACATAAGACTCACTCTAGCCTAAAGAAAAAGTAATTTCTAAATATAGCCTCAGACTCATATTATAGAGCTTCAGCTATCTAGCCGTGACATTTTATCATTGTAATTATGTATAATAAAAAACTTTCATTCAGAAGAAATTCAGTTTTGTTGTATGAAGACTGACAGTTCTAGGATTTTATAGATTATATAGACAATTATAGGATTATATCTAGAATTAATATAGAATTCCAAAGAGGACTTGACTTAGAATCTATACCAGAGGAATAAAAGGAAGCATTTTCCCCAAGTCCAGGCATTCTACATCCTCTATAAATCAGACCGTCCTGGTACTCTTCCCCAGCCCCAACCAGTCTGAATTGACCTTTAGTTGGGCCCTTTGTCTTAAATAAGTCAGTCAGCTACTCATCAAATTCTATACCTACCCAGCAGGATATGCATATAGAACATTTATTTTTCTTCATCTTCAAGCAAGAATTTTTTCTCTGCTGACTTTAGCATCCTTAGCTGACTTTATTTTTTATCTTCCTCACTCATAAAATTGCATTATTATTATTATTTTTTTTTTGAGTTTTAGTCTCACTCTGTTACCCAGACTGGAGTGCAGTGGCCGCTCCCGGCCACTGCAGCCTCGACCTGCTGGGCTCCGGCGATTCTTCCGCCTCAGCCTTCCAAGTATCTGGAACTACAGGCGCGTGCTACCACATCTGGCTAATTTTTTTATTTATTGTAGAGATGAGGTCTGGCCAAGTTGCCCAGGTGGGTCTCGAACCCGTGACTCAGGCAATCCACTCACCTCAGCCTCCCAAGGAGCGGGATTACAGGCTGAGCCACTGAGCCTGGCATAAAATTGTATTATAACTGCTATCCTACAGTTGAGGTCATAAAAAGGATCTAGGCATTAATATTGACATGTATAAAACACACACACACACACACACACACACACACACACACACACACATAACATTGTGGTTACCTTTAAGATATAGTTTCTTTTACCACATGCCAGGGAATTATTCTATGTTTTCTCCTTTAATTCCTCAAATCTTGATATAAATTCCATTTTCTTCATTTTTAGATAAGTTACAGAGAATAATGTGGATCACTGCTCTTTAGAATTGTCTTTTTCTGTGCTTTATGTGTAAATTTCGATGTTTAAAAAAATTCAGTTTTTGATCTGTTCATAGATTTGAAATTAGGACAGGCAGGAATATTTCTGTCTGCAATCCACATTTGTTTTAAAATTGTGTTTACTTAAAATATAAAACATGACACTTTGATATACATAAGCATGAGGAAATTATTATTACAGTGAAGCAAAATATCCTATCCATCACCTGTCATAGTCACACGTGTGTGTGTGTGTGTGCGTGTGTGTGTGTGTGTGTGTGTGTGTGTGGCAAGAGTACCTAAATCTACTCTTTGGCAAATTTTCAGTATACAATGCAGTATCATTATACCCTATCCTAACAGTTACATATTAGATTTCTATATTTATTCATCCTGCATGACTTCAAGTATGTGTCCTTTGACCTACTTTTCTCCATTTCTGCCCTGGTCCACTCCCCCATAACCCCATTGACTCTGCTTCTGAATGTACTTTCCCTTTCCTTCTTTTCTTATCTTCTCACTGCACCAGTTGTCATGTTTTTACTTTTTTCTCAGTCTTTTTATTATCTTTTCTCTATTCATTTTCTTCTGACTTTATTTCTCAGTCATAGACAATGATTCTTTGTGATTCTTTCTTTGTGTTAATGCAATTTAATCACACCGAAATTGGAAGAGAAATAACAGGAAAAGATTGGGAGTAATGACAAGATTGTTTCAAAGTGCAGAGGCAGGAAAAGACTCATGTCACACACTCACCTATTCTAAGTAGTTAAGGGAGAATAGCCATTGAGGATCAGACCCTTTTTTATAGCATCTTAGTTGTTCCCCAAATCCATTTTCCACTGATCAGCTTATCTTAAAATTGCTGAAAAAATTTGGAACAGGATAATATGATACTGCATAAATTTCAAAATTATTCACAGCAGCTGACACTCATTTTTTCCTTCTACATAAATAGTACATTACTATCATAAAAATTTTGTTCTCCTTAGTATACTATACCTTAATACAGAATATGCTAAAACTTATTCATTTTTTTGTAATTTAAAAGCTAACACTTACCTGAAATGTATACATAAGACAATTGTATCAAGATGCCACAATTACATCGATTATGCTACTTAATTTACAACTAGTAGCCCATTTCTCAAATGATCCACATTTCCATTTTGTCTTCCTCTGACCAAATTTTTCTTCAGTGTATGTAAAGTGTATGTTTGTTTTTACTTCTGTGACTATCTTTCCCTTTCTCTCATTTCATTTCTTGTCTAAATATCTTTATTTTTTCTTTTCTGCATCCTTCTGTCATTCTATATTTTATCTTAATCTAAATTTTTGTCTTTTCAACATGTTATCTTCTACCTTATTTTCTATTTTATTTTCTGTTTCTTTCTTCTATATCTCTTTGTAATTCTATGACTTTCTTTGATTTATCCCTCACCTGAGTAGCGTTCCCACCTCTACCTGAAAGTCAAACTTGTACTAACTCAAAGATGCTAAAATTTTGATTCTCCATGCCCCTCAGACCTTTAAAACCTTTTACTTTCTGAGTAGGGAGGCTCAAACGCTTCCATCATTTTTATAAATAATCCTACTCCTGGTTTCTCCTGGGGTAGGAAATTAGAAATAGTTGTCAGTCTGCTGTATCCCCAGAGGCAAAATGACTGTAAAAAGCCCTTAACCACATCTTTGGCAAGAGCATATAATCATAATACTGGAAACAGTAGAAATGCATGCTACTTCTGTCCACATTCTCAGTCCTTTCTTTCAAATGTCATAGTTTTCTCTTCTCAAGCTAGCATAAGAGAGTGAATTGATAACTCCTCTGTCCCAGAGAAACACTGAAACTTCACCTTTAATTAGAGATATTGTGTAAGACAATAATAATGAAGTACATCGACAGGTCTTTTTATTATAGAGTGCATACCATGTCTCATTGAACAGGGTTATTTATTAGTCATGTGCTTAGATTCAAAGATCCATACTAAATACTTGAAAGGCAAAACCTAGTTCATTGCTATTTCTACAGTGCTTAGACAGAGCATTACCTACCAACACACTATTTTTTTTTATATCCAAACTAAATTACCTCTTTTCATTTCTTTATAAATTCCAGAAACAGCTTATCAATATCTTCAAAGAAATATATTGTGACTTTTGAGAATGATACTGGATCTATAGATCAATTTGGGAAGATTTGAAATATTTAGACTATCAGATATTCCAATCCAAGAACATGGAGCTTTATTACAGGTTTTTAATTTTTCTCAATATTCTGTTTGGAGATTATATATCATATCTTAGGTTTATTCTGAAGTACTTGGCATTCATTTATGCTAATGTAAACAGTTTAAATAAATTAACTTTTTCTAAATCTAAGGTACTGATATAGACAGATATAGTCAATTTACATGTAGTCTTCTTACAGAAAAACTGATGTTTGTTTTTTTAATTTTGGATTAGTGATCTGTAGACACTTTAGGTCTAATTTTGCACCAAATTGTGCCTCTATAAGTAATGTCAGTATTTTTGTCCCTTTTTTCCAAATATTATGTCATTTACTACATTTATTTCTTTTTGCAGTATCTAAGTGCTCTAGTGCTGAGCAGAAGTGATGAAACTGTTTTTTTTTCCTTTGCAGATATTGCATGTAATGTCATCAACATTTTACTACTAAGTATTTTTTTTAAGATTTCTTGCAACTACCTTTATCAGAGAATATGGTTGTCTTTTGCTGCTCATGTAATAAGTGTTTTTGTTAAGAATAGATGCTGAATTTCACAAAATTAATTTGTGTTTATGGAGATCATAATTTTATGGTCTACATAATTTTCTTTTAAGATCCTATTATGTTGATTTATTTTCAAATATCAACCTTACAGTTTTTCTCTTTTATCAGTTTTGAAACTATTTATGGAGAATGTGTACCTTAGTGGGTTTTTTTGCTTTTTGTTTTGTTTTGTTTTATTTTGTTTTTGAGTTGGAGTCTCACTCCGTCGCCCAGACTGGAGTGCAGTGGCACGCTCCCAGCCACCGCAACCTCGACCTGCTGGTCTCCAGCAATCTTTCCGCCTCAGCCTTCCAAGTAGCTGGAATTACAGGTGCCCGCTACCACGCCTGGCTAGTTTTTGATTTATTGTAGAGATAAGGTCTCGCCAAGTTGCCAGGCGGGTCTCGAACTCGCAGGCTCAGGCAATCCACTCACCTCAGCCTCCCAAAGCACTGGGATTACAGGCTGAGCCACTGAGCCCAGTGAATGTGTACTTTGAATATACATTTTTATATCATTGGCTAAAAATTGTACATTAAGTACCTTTATAATCTTTCAATGTCTGCAAGAGTGTTGTCGTGTCTCCCTTTTCCATTAATGATGTTGGTTTAATATGAATACTCTTCTATAATTATCAGTCTTATAGTAGATGGATAGTTTCATTGATCTTTCAAACAGTCAGCTGTCAGAGATTGGGCTCTCCAGAAACAAATACCAAAGCAGAGTTTGGGTTGCAAAGATTTATTAGGAGTCAAAACCAGTAAAAGGAAGAGGGAAGAATCAAGATGGGAAAAAGGAAAAAGCTGATCTGCAACACAGTCCCAACAAGTTCTTGACCAATATACTGGGGCTCTCTGGCTATTCTAGGCATTTATACTTTGGCTTCACTCAGTACCTAAAGTGGGTTGCCCTAGGAGGGATAAGACCACAGAGACATAATTCTCTGAGGTTCAGACAAACCTTGCGAGAGCAAAAAGTATATCTCCACTCATGTGACAGCCCATAATTCAAAGGGTTTTCACCAATTTTACTAGTTCCTGTCTCATTTGCTTTCCTCCAGTTGCTCTAGAAAACTCAAAATTAACTTTTTATGCATAGAAATTTGAGTTCTTCAGAAATCAGTTCTTCAGAAATCAGTCTTTGTATTTTCAAACAGGATATATGCTAAACTCACTATATTAGCTTTTATTTCATAGTGACAACACTGATATTAAAATATTTTCTTTATGAGCTCTTCCATTTATATATCTTTATCTTTTCCCTTTTTATATGTCCTTAACACAATCTTTCCTAATCCATTTTGTATAGTGTAATAGTCTGGTTTTCATCCTTAGGCAGAATGTCTTCACGTCAGGTTACTACACAAAATTTAATTTTATTATTTCAGGCTTTTTATTATTACTTAGAGAATATTGCTTAAATTAGAGCAACCTATTATGTCAGAAAAGTCCACCAATTGTCTTGATTCCAAATATGAAGATAAGTGTTTATGTCTGGCCTGGATGAGTGGGATAACTCTTTAGTCTTAAGCCCGGTGTAACTCTTTCTGGCTTCTCCCATATGCCTGATTACTTGTTACCGTCCTGCTCATTCCACTCTTCATCCAGGACTTCTTTCCCTAAACGTAGCAGTAAAAGGGCTGAACAACCACAGGACTGAACAGTAGAAATGTGTATCTAGTATCTCAACAACAATATCAATAATCCCTAAAATTATGCTGAAAGGACTGTTTAAAGTAGTTACATATGTTATATATCATTTAATACTATATCAGTAGATAAAGCTATTACAATTATTTAACAAATATGAAAACTCAATCAAAAATAACTTGATCTACTTATGCCAATGTGACAGAGATATATAACCTTCCTAGAGAGAAAGAACCATGCAGAAGTCATGGTTTTAAAGAATAATACAATCTACCACATTCTCTTCTGACCTTAAAATGAGAGAGATGAGGTTGCCTAGCAGGTGGTCTGTATTTTTTTATCTTTGTTGTATCTTTTCAAATATTGTAGCTGTTCAACTGAAATAATTTAAAACAGGAAAAAATACAATAAATCATATTAAAATTATTAAAATATTTATAAATGTTTATTAAATATGAGACCATGCTCAATAGATATGAGGATAAGAAAGAATCAAAGTGCTCAGTGTTTTTTGATCTTGAACATTTTTCATCTTGCTTGTATTCTTATAAAGCAGCATATGAATAAAAAAAAGTCTCATAGTTAGTAAGTAGATAAGCTACCAAATACAACAATTGATCTCTACAGCTGACATCTTAAATGCAACCTATAAGATAACATTTCTTAAGACTCTATCCATGTAACAACAGACAAAGTCCTATTCCTAATTTTACTCTTTTATCTTGATGCTGACCCTTAAGTCAATGGCCATCTCTGTTAGAATTATCCACTATACTCTTTTCTCTTGTCTAGATCACTGTGGTTGAACATACCAAATGCTGAGACATATTAAATTGTAAGAACAAGGCATTACTCTTAAAAACAATCTTTATTGAGATCCAGAAGTGTTGAGTATTGATTCAGTTACCCTAGGTTCCATTCTTCTGGTCCTAGTTCTAGTGGTCCCCAAGGATGGTTTAGTACTTTGAATTCTTTGATTCTTCAGTAAAGCCACTGAAAGGACAGGTTGAATGACTCCTCTGTGACAGCATTAGGACATTATAGATGAAGATTTTTTTCCTTATGTGGACAAAAGAAAACAGTAAATTTTAGGTGGAATTTCCTACCTAGATCCCCTTCTTTTCCTCTAGGAGACACTGACTGTACTGTTGCTGGATTTTTTTGATATCATCCACACTGAGGCGGAAGGTTCTAGGGTTGCGATACCGATAAGCAGAGTACATGATGGACCTCCTGTTCTTTGAGTGCTGCAGTCCCAAAGAATGACCTAATTCATGAATTGCAACCAGGAACAGATTAAATCCTGAAAGAGTATAGACAAAAGAATAAAATTAACTATGTATAAGTAAATCAGCAAATGCAAAAAAACAAATAAGAAAAAAAGGAGAGAACAGAAAAGAAATAAATAAAAATGTTAGAAGGCAAGGAAAAAGTAGGCAAGGAGGGAAAGAGCTAAGTGAAAAGAGAATGGCAAGATATTTCAACAGATAAACTGGAAGTGAAGAAGACATATGGAGATAATTGAGGGACAAATAAATGGAAGCAAAGAAACAAGGAGAAAATCACAATAGGACAACATGTTTATTATAGGAATGTGTTCCGAAATTATCCAACCTCCCCATCTCCCCCTACCCCCAAATCATACAGAAAACCCAATTCCTCAGCCAGATCTTCCCATCACACCCTGGACACTTTCTTCTACTCACTTTATTGTATCCTAGGCTCATCTTGAGACAATACTAAACCCCAGGTTCCCAGAGAGTCTAACACTTCCACAAGGCAAAACCTTTACCTGTGTTTGAAACTGACCAATGTTCGCACTTGTCAAAATGAACAACTCCTGATTTTCCAGAATTTGGCAAAAAAGCATGGCCTAAGACACCACCTGGTCCATCAAAGGGCCAGTCATCACCATGTGCTGTGGCTGACAAAAGCCATGATCACAGTGGAGGTGGAGGGAGTAACAAGGGTGAGAATGGTCTTAAGTAAGTTTTAATGACAGAACACTGTGCAATGACAGAACACTGCGCAATGGTGCAACCACCATTGGGTTGTGAGAGAGCCAAGATATTATCTATGCAAGAAAATTGGATTGGACAAAAAAATCTTACTATTTTCTGTCATTGGGAGTGAAAGGAGAGAGGGACAGATGGCAGATACTGAGTAAAGATTAGAGGTTAGACTCAAAATAGTTTTCTTTCCTCAAATAGAGAAAGAAAAAGTTACACTGCAAGTTTTTATGAGTACTTTGAATCAACTTTGAATGGCATTTTAACAGGCTTGGGACCTACAAAACACTTTTTTCGGAAAGAAAATGTACAATCCTCCCACCATGTTCACACCACAGTGAACACCCTCTCTACGTACTGCTTCACTGTTCTAAAATGTCTTCCTGTGTTATAGACATTACTTTTCATCAGGATATGTCTGATTTTTTTCTCAGATGTTAGACTAATTGGGTTGAATTTTTGTTTAAAGATATCTTTCTCCTTTACACAGGGCATTATATCCTTTCTTTCATGTCAAGTCCTTACCTCCCTTCCAGAAAGATATCTTGATATCTGCATTTTCACTCTGTACTTGCTGAAAGATCAAGAGGGTCACATTGCTCCAAATGGAAACCACTTTAAGTATAATGCGTTTCACTGTGGATGGCTTCATGTCACGTGGATAGTTGATGATCCTGAAAGAAGAAATATCCAATTGAAATAATCCAGAGGTATTGGAATTATCCCAGCTTTCAACATGAATAACTTTGCTTTGGAGTGAATCACTTAATGTTTCCTCATTTTGTTTATTTATAAAATTGAGTTAATTACAGACTAGTTCAATCAGAAATTCAAAAAAAAACATACAAATATAGATTTCTAAAATTTTTAACAAACACTCCACATTATTCTTAGATAAACTAAGCGCTGATAACCACAACCCCACATGGTGGTTGGGAGAAAATAAATAAATACATGTGAACTAATTGACATATATAGCATTTTACATAGCTTAGTATTCTGTTGCTTTATTTTTTAAGATTGTAGAACGATGGTTACATGTGAGTATATGGCATAAAGGTAAGGTTTGGGCTTCTGAGGAGCCCTCCCCCCACGCCTGTAGTGGGCATGGCACCCAATGAGTGGTTTTGCATCCCTTAACCCCCAGTAGTGCCTGGGTTCTGTTCCTGTTCTTATGCCCATGTGTTCCCACTGTTTTAGATGTATCAATACATTTAGAATACTCAGTAGAGTAAACTAGGCAGGAAGTAAATTTTCAAAAATTGTATCTTACAAACACCCACATACCTGTGCGTGCGCACACACACACACACACACACACACACACACACACACACACATATATATATAAAATGAACCATGAACTCACTAACCTTTCATGAACCCACTAACCTTCCTGGGAAGGTTAGTGGGTTCATGGCTGAAGGCTGGTGGTCAAGCTCCACTTTCTAAAGAGATGTTTAGAGGAAACTAGAAGGAGAGATTGGGTAGAATTGCCCTCCCTGTGGGAGGTTTTGGGCTTTAGACAGACTGCCACATAAAGCAGAAGGCAGTAGAGATGCCTCCAGGAGAGGCCTTGTCAAAAGTTCTTTGAGGTCATCACCCCACACATTTCCCAAGCCTTAATAACAAGTACCTGTAAGTCAGCATGTGCTTATTCCATTTAGACTTTCTTGAGGAGTTGGAGGAGTTTGCCCCATCAGGCCCCCCACAGTGTGGCTGGCGCAGCAACAGCAGTCATCTGAGGAGCTAATAAGTCTGTCGCATTTGGATGGAATTGCTGCAGGAACTGTGTCTGTGTCTCCAGGGTAAGAAGTGCCAACTCCTTCTTGGACAGAAATAAATCCATGGAAATAATTTTGAGTAAGAGAACGAGAAGAATGTGAACTTAGCGTCAATAGTACAGGTTTATGGTATCAGTTATCCAGGACACAGTTATATTTGAGAACCTCAGAAGGATGGTGCTTAGTCTATCTGGTCTTCTTGAATCTACTATTCTCAGTCAAAATGATGGCAACCATCCCTGAGTCTTCATGTCACAGCGAGATGATTTTTAGCATATGTTACAGAATAAAAGTAACTTGAATAATAGGATAGAGAAGCCCAAGTATAAAGGACACGAATGTATTACCTGGAAATTGCCCAGAATAGCTGGGCCTCAGGTCTTTCTGACTGATTGAGATTTTCTCAGTCAGGACAAAATCAGCAACTCAAGGACATAGAATTTGGCTGGTTCTACATTACTTAGTCTATTTGCATTTACACATTCCATTCCATGATAATACTTTTAAAGACTCCATTTTTTTACACTCTTTACCTATTCCTTGTGTTCACTGATTGATTTCCTTTTTCTTTTACTTTTGCCATCGAATGTACCAAATCTCAACTTCTGAAAAAAAAATAGCACCTTTTATTATAATCTGGCTTTCCCTATCTCCATCTCTATCTCTATCTGTACTTAAACCTCAGCTATATTTTAAGGGCAATGCATATGTCTAATACAACTTAGTCTATTTAACAGTGTTTATGTAAGCCCATTGATTGGCTTTTGCATATTGTACAAGACTGCACTTTTATATCTTTGTTTTATTATCAGCCAAACTGGGTGCTCAGAAGCAAGTGACTTATTGTATTTTTCTGGGCTAAATGTTAGCAGGAAATTTGACTAGGTTCCTGAACAATTACAAAGTACATGACTGAAGCTAGTTATACTATATTTTTTTAGGAATTTTGGATGCTTAAAAGGTCTGGAGTAAATCAATAGTTTCCTAGGGAATTGAAAGTGTTGGGTAGATAGATTGGGAAATGTCTCAGTCAATAGGAAAGCCATACTTGAATTACTTAGTCTACTTGAATTACTTTCTTTGATCACTTACCACCTAAACAGACACAGAGATCCATACACTGGAGTGTCCATAGTATACCATATAGAAGACTAAGATTGTGGGAGATGGGCAATGAGGCAGAATTATTTATTAGGAACAGAAGGCACAGTGCCTAGGATCCAAAATACTTTTAGAGGCCATAAAAAATTCTTGATTTCTTTTAAAATCAGAAAAAAAATAGCACGTAGATTAAAGAAAGTATTTTAATATGTAATACTAAGTATATATTTATCTTTACACCATGCAGTAACACACACACACACACACACACACACACACACGCACACACGCACACACACACACGAGAAAAGAGTCCAAGAGTCCATGAAAGTAATAATGTAATAATTGGTCCTTATTAGGACACCTACCTTAACAAAGTCCCATCCTTCAAGGTCTTTGGCAGGAGGCAGTGGAAAGCCCAGACACCAGGGCAGGAAGACAGCAACTCTTAAGATGACAGGCATTATGGCAAATGCTCATTTGTCTTACTGCCTGAATTCATGTACCTAACCCAGATTGCCAGAGCTTTATAGCTGTGCCAGCAACATTCAGTGATTCATGCTACTAGTTTGCCCTTTCTTTGAATCAGTGAGTATCATTGTTGCCAATATCTGGTGAAGGCAGAGTGACCAGCCCACCAGGATGGTGACAGCAGCCATGGGATTTATTTTATGCTTATTTTACACCTGATGGTCCTCAGGATCTCAGGTCCTAGGTTTGGTTAAGAAAATGCAGGTAAGTCTTAGGATATAGGTTAATCATTATATTAAAATGGAGAAAAAAAGAAACAGAAGGCATATGAACAATTCATTACAGCTTTATCTATAGAACAAGTCCTTTACTAGTCAGAAAAAAATACAATCTTTCTCCAGAAGCTAAAGAGAAAAGATAGAATAAAACTGAGGAAGGAAATAGTGTCTACTATAACGAAGATCCAAAGCAGAGGATAAAAAATCTCCAAGACCCATATAGAGATCTAGGCATACACAGAAAAAGTTAGTTAACAGCTGTATTTTGGAGAAAATAAAGCATTGATAAGTTGAGACACGCAGTCAACTTTATCTTCTTGGCAAGGGGAGATAGAAGCCAGAGCTCTGGCCATGGGCTTGTACTGAAAACAAAAACTAAACACCCAGTGTTATATATGAAAATGGAAGGTCATGGAAGAATTTGAAAACACACACACACACACACACACACACACACACACACACACTTATTGAAGGATTATTATAAAATGCTTCTTATTTTATGCCTTTGGTAAAGATTAAAATACAATATAATAATTTTATTGGTTAAAAAAATGAGGTTCAAGGAGGAAAAGGAGCATACCAGATTCACACAGATAATAACTACAGAAAGTTAGCTTCAAATCCAATGTCCAAATATTCCATCAATTGGGGTTAACATCATGATATATATGTACAGATAGGTCAACAGATAGATAGATAATATTCAGAAGTACCAGGGAACAAATTACTGACACATGCAATGAAACAGACAGCATCAAATACAATATGCTGAATTAAACATATGAGCCATCAAACAGTAGTACAACTACATGATTACATTTATATGAAGCTCAAGAACAGATAAATGAAATTAACAAATTATGAAAAACAATCAGAATAGTGGTTGCCTGTTGTGGAGGGGACTGTTGATAATGGAACACAATGGAAATTTCTCAGGAGACTACATCATCTATTTTTTTTGACTGAAGTCTGGGTTATACAAATATATTCACTTTTCAAATCTCAATAAACTGTATACCTAAGTTCTGTGCATTTTACTTTTATACATCTACAAAAATAAGTAAAATTTAAATGAACAAATAAAACAAAAATATAGATCCATTAGGTCCCCAAAACTACAACTATTTTATCATGAGGAATATAGGACTATAAAAGGTAATATATGTGGTCAACTGAGCATATAAATTATATGTTATTGAAGTTATTATAATGTGAGTGCTATGAACTAGTTTCTAAAAGAAGAAAGTTATATGCTAAAGATACATGTAAATAACAGAACATCAACCAGAAGATTTAATAAGATTGAAAGTATTTGTGATAAACTTGGGAAAAAATTAAATTCGAAAAAGGCCAGGTAGGTTTAAAATTGCGTATGGAAAAAGAGATGTTTATGGTTACACAAGCATGAACTAAAGAGTTAATTCCTAACAGCTTCTGCCAACTGTAAAATACGAGTTTCTTCGCATAATTCTCACAGTGAAAGAGGCTTTATTAAGCTCTCATTTCAAAGATTGATAAACCAAGGCTTAAGAAATGTACAAATCTTTCCATGAAGATGGCAAAATACTAATAGTTGCACCTATATCTGGTTAACTTGGAATTCAAATTTTTAAATGAGGCATGATTCTTAACTTTATTCATCTACAGAAATTTCAAAGTCGTGTTGATGATATTAATGATGGAGATCTTCCAAGAAATTAAAAACCTAAACTTAGTGGAATTATAATAAAAGAAACAATGTGAAAAGTTACTCAAAGTTATTCAAAACCCATAGCAGTATTAAAAGAAGAGGAAGAAAAAAAAACAACTTCTTTCTGAATCTCTCACATCTTTTCTGGAGCTCTGAACATCTCACTATCTAAACTCAATACTAGCAATCCTTTAAGTACTTCTGCATCTTTTCCTCCCAAGTTTTTCTCTTTATGCCATCCCTACTGCTCACATTAATCTTTTGCTTTTAGAGAAAAGGCCACTTGGAGCTCAGATTCCTCCATTTAAGATAGACTTCTCCACGATGGTTAAAAAATTAGGTAAGACATCTTCCTATTGCCTTGGCGGGAGATAATCAAAGAGCCCTGTAGAGCAGGGATCCTCAATGCCCGAGCTGGGGACACGACCGGTTGACAGTCTACTAGGAACTGAGCACTCAGCTGGAGGCGGAGCAGTGCGCAAGCAGAGCTCAGTGCGTGTGAGGGATCTAGGTTTATGAGAATCTAATGCCTGATATCACCCCCACCCCACTGCCACTCTATCTGTAGAAAATTGTCTTCCACAAAACTGATCCCTGATGCCAAAAAGGTTGGGGACAGCTGTTGTAGAGGATAGTTCTTCAATTACTCTGATTTGATTTTGAAATTCCGTTGCAACTTTTCAGCAACTTGGATGGACTTAGAGTCTATAATGCTGAATGATCTATCACAGAAACACAGAACTCAGTACCACATGTTCTTACTCATAAGCGGATCTTGAACAATTATCATATTACTATAAGAAAGGGATTGGCAGTAGTGGGAAGCTGCCTGGGGAAGAGGTAGATGTAGGATTGACAGTAGTGGAAAATTGCCAGGAGAGGGAGGGGGCACACCTCATCAACTAAAAAAAATGTTTTAAAAAAGAAAAACAAATTCTGGTGCAAAGTTGCTAATAATTAAAATCCTTCTGAAAAGTTAATATATCCTTTTGTACACAATAAATATATGCAGTTTTATCTATCAATTAAGAAATAAATTGCAAGAAGGAAACCCCTCCTATGTTTACAGGCCCACACACTATACTGTAGACTCATATTGCAAGAATTTCTTCAATTTGCATTAATATATGTAGCATAGCCTTTGGAACCTAAAAGAAACTGATTAATCATTAGTTAAATGAAAGTGTTCAGTAAAATAATCTCATAGCTACTGAGATCGGAAGTAAGTTGCTTATGAGTTATTTATATTGCTAGTGTAAACGTAAGCACACAATTCAGATCGCTTGACACAGGGAAAGTGATTGTTATAATAACTTATTAAGAACATATACTGTGTCAAGCGTGCACTATCTTTCATCAACACAACCACTTGTGAAGTAAGTTTTTTTTTTAATTCATTCTGTAGTTAAGATTAAGTGTTGACATTATATGACAGTCATTTGGATGGGCACTGTGCTCAGAGTGATATATAGAAGTCATGAACAAAGAGTGCTACTCTTAAGGCAGAACTGCTGATCACTGGACTGGATTGCCACTCCCACGGTGCCACACTCCCTTCTGATGCTGCTTTTGTCAGCCACCTGTAAGCCTGACCCCATGCTCAGATAAGTGAGTGCTGAGATCCAGCTTAACTAAGAAAGCTAATGAGTGACTTATTAACGATTCAGCTTCAGATAAGAGAAAGTGTGTGTTCAAAGTGTGGCAATGTTTCTCAGTATATAATAGGCATATAAATCACCTTGGAATATCAATAAACATACAGATTCTGATTCAACAGGTCTTGGGTAGGCCTAATATTCTGAATTTCTAACCAGTTCCTAGGTGATGCCAACACTGCTGGTCCAAAAATCATACATTTTGAGTAGTTATGAGATAGAGGGTACTGAGAATGCTGGGAATGGAGGAGTTATGCATTTGACCAGAAGGTTTTAAGAATGAATGCTAAGTTTATATTTTGTTTTAAAAGTCAGAACTATGAGAAACAGGATTCCACCTCTCCTCCCATCTCTACCTATACTGTCATGACCTCCTCATTTATGCCCAGGAAATTTAATCTTTTGGGGCATAAAAATCTGGCTTGTAAGACCTTTCCTATCAGAGTCTGAATTGTTTCCCATCTTCTTCTGGGTAAAACATCATGGTGGCAGGATAGAAAACAATTTTGAAACCCTCAGAATGCATGGCCACCTTTTCTGTGACTCAGTTAGAGAGGTGGGTGAGGGAGTTTGAGGACATTTTCCAGAACTGGAAAATTTATGTCTATTTTGTGACATTGACAACTCTTCTGGGAAAGATTTAACATCTAATTCATCATGATGTAGAACAAATGCTTCCACAATACCCAACTTTGGGCTTAGATTGAAAGAAAAAATGCAAATAGGGAGTAATGAAAGACAGAAACAATGGGACTTGGCAGGGCCTAGGAAGTTATCAATATCTCCGTGCAGTACAGAATCACATTGACATTTAATTATCATCACGGGGGATGTGTATTTTCTCTTCTGAAACTATTTTGCACCCATAATTTATTTTTTCTATCTAGAGAATGCCGTAACAAAGATTATTGAGCACAGAGCCTGCCTTAAATTACTTTGCCTTCTCATAGAATAATTTGTGAATTAAACATACAATTGTGAGACAGTGATATGCCATGTAATAAACATATATACAAGTTAAAATAATGACTTATTCGAATGAGGTCTTAAACTGCATGAGTTGGCCTGAGTAGTTAAGTAGAGGAAATGAAGTAACCTGGACCTTACAGCTTTAAACGGTGTTGTAAGAACTCAGGAGAAAAGTTATGGATCCTTAAGTCATTATCTTGGTTGGAGTATAGCACAGAGGTAAGAATGGAGAGAGAAGTTAAAACAAAATCTTGTGGCACTTTAGAAGTCATGTAAATATTTTATATTATTTTCATGTTATAAATAAGTGTTTCTATTAGTGCTTATTCAACTAAGAATAATAGTTATCAAATAGTAATTATAATAATAAGAGAAATCAACTTTTACTGATTGGTGTT